CCAGCGTCACATCATGCACAGGCTCCCCCAATCCTAGCCCCAACAGAAATCCTCCTCACCCTGGCCCCCACCTGAATTAAACCACTTCACTTGCCCCTTGCTCCTCCCCATCCCAAGTTTAGCCCACACTCTCGTCCCTGCTGGCTCGGTCCCACCACCCATCTCGCACCACATGCAGTAACAACCTCAACCCGGTTGTTGCAGTAGAATTCTGCCCACTTCTCCTCTATTTTTTCCCATGCACACTCCCACCATTGCCGGGCTTCGTGCGAGCTTCAAGCCTGATACCCGACGGCCCGTCGTTGCACTTCCCTCTCCCAAGAATAATTCTCGCCTGCAATCAATCAACACCCCCACTGACAGGAAAAAGGGGGCGACGCATCCCAGAGTGTCCAACCCGTGTGTGTCCCAGTAGAGCAAACCCGATCTTCTTCTGGACCAGAATGTCCCGAACTGTGCCTTCGAATCCAAACACAATGCTTCCATCGTGGACACAGTCAATGTCTCCACCACTACCGTCATGCTCATGCCACCACCCACACGAATCGCACACCATCAAACGAAACTAACCATCTTCAGATCACTCCCTCAGCGATCAGAAGACCAACACACACACAACGTCTCGACCCACCCCAATTCTGCATATACAGTATGCAAGATTCCAGAAACTTGTGGATTCGATCAGCACATCTTACAAACCAGTTTATTTCCTCTCTCTCTCTCTCTCTCTCTCTCTCTCTTCTCTGTTTTTTTTTTTTTTTTTTTTTTTTGATGATGATGATGATGATTTTTATTATTATTAATTATTAAAGCTGCGATAGAGCACAGCAGTCTAACTGCATGGCAGAAAACGACGATGATGATGATATCCCGATTGGATAAACAGGATAACAGAATGTGGGATATCGTGCCGTTATTCCTTCGAGGTGGAGTAAGGGTGCGTGGTGGTAATGGTGTGGGTGGGGGACGTGGGAACACAAAAGGGGAACAAGTCGAGAATACCGGAGGGAACGCAAAGAGAGGAAGGGAACGAGATATGGGAACGCGACAAGTGGCTGACGAGGGGTCGAGTAGAGGGGGAGATCATGTGAGAAGGTGGAGCAGGGGTGGTGGCCTTTTTGGATGGAAGCCGTGCTTAGGAAGATGAAGGCCAGTTAGCCCAGTTCCCCCTTCCCTCCCCCCACTTTAAATTTAGTCTCTTACCGGGCCCCATGATGCCCCACCCCCAGCCCCGTTATATTGGCCCTGCCGTATTACTTGCTGCCCCCCGTTATTAGGATATTGCAACACCATCTGCGGAAGGGGCGTTTGCCTAATATTTCCCCCTCCCCCAGTCATGCCCAGTTATGGCCTCTCTCTTACTGTGACCCCCCTCCCTTCCCCCTCATTGTCCTGTTCTGCTCCCCATCCCCCCCCCCTTTCTTTTATATATATATATATATATAGATAGGCTTATAACCCTCCCCTTGGATTAGCCACGTCACACCCCAACACACGCTCTTGCCTTCCTTCCGTCCCTGCCTGTCTGAGTAAAGCGGATCCTTTTTATTTTCTTTTCGTTCCCTTAGTGAGGGTTTGGTATTCACAGTACTTTTCTCTTGGTCTTTCACGTGTTTTTTTTTTTTTCCAAATATATGTATAATTTTTAATTTTTGGTTTGTTTACTGTGAAGGTTACATCGATCTGCCACGTAGGTGTGAGATGGAAGGAAGGTTTTTGCAGTGCTTCTTGTGGCTGAGTTTGCAGTGAGTGTGAGTGTGTGTGAGAGTGTGTGTTGCACCTGGAGTGGTGGAGGATCCTGAGAGGTGTGGCAGTGGTAGTAGCAGTAGCAGTAGCAGGTCTATGATAAGACAAATAGAGGTGGTCAGATTAGCTTCATTTTTTTTGTTTCCTTTTACCATTTTCTATTTTAGCTGACAAAACAATAGAATGTTGGGTCCAACAGCCTAGTCTGCTCTCCAGACCAGGCTGTTCAGACATCTTCAAGAGCAGCTTTTACAACTGCCCCCCAACAACACATGAAAAAGGAGTTTTGATGGGAGTGTGTGTGTGTGTGTGTGTGAATGCAGTTAAAACCAATACCCATACTCATATGCCACTCACTCCTCTTCTTCACTGCATCCTATGAGTTTTCTCATTCACAACATTAGATTCTTTATACTTTATTTTTCTTGAATGGGTGAAATGGGCCTTTCAGTGATAACCCACCACTGGCAATGGAAGGTGATGCCCTAACTAACTTGATTTTGTTGCCACCATTTGTATTGTGCTTTGATCCCAACTTGCCCAGAAATTTGCTGACAATATATTTCATCCTCATTGCCCAAAAGTAGTAAGATATTGAGAATGTCATCATCTGGTCACAAGAAAAGGAAATAGTTGCTCAGAGGAGTGGGGTTTTTTTAGTGCAACAGGCTTTGGGCACAGGGGAGGATGACTCCATTCTGGTTGCCCTCCCCCCAGACAACTTGACCTAAATTTGAGCCTTGGACAAGGGAGTGAGATTGCCAGCAAGGACTATTTTGGTTTATGTTTTTAGTTCAGTGTTCTTATTCTTTATATTGGGGCCACTTTGAGGGCATGATTTTTAGTAGTGCCATGAGCTTGGCTGCTTGTTTTTGCCAATTCAAGGATCCGTAGAAAAAAAAACAAAGATCTACTTGCAACTTGATCCTTGCTTATTCAACTTTGCCTTCTTCCTTCACTTATTTCATTAATTTCTTCTTTCTTTCTTCATCTTCACCTTGTCCATTCCTAAGCTCATGACCATGTTGACTTGTATCCAAGCTTGGCATCCATTTGCATGGGAAGACACTCAAGCCAATGATGTGGATGTGTTAAAACTTCCAACAAAGTTTCTACATTCCATTGGTACAAGATTTGTGGGGAATGTGAAGAAAAGGATGTTTCTTCCTACACATTTACATATCAACTTGCAAAAAGAAGATAGTTTATAAAAATGTGTATAAATTCTTGTGGTGGAGAGGATGACTAGGGTTTGTTTTCTAAAGCCTTGCATTGAGAGCAAGGAATGACAACTAATAGGAAAATTTATACCTTACTGCTCTTTTTGTTTTGTTTTGTTGTAAGAATCTATGCAATGAACCAAAAGAAGGAATGTTTTTTCTTTTTCTATTTCTTAGTTTTAGTTGTATACGCATGATGATCCAACTTTTAAATCAAGGCCCACATTTCCAATGCTTGATCACACAACAATGTTGAGAGAAAATATGAAGGTTTTTTAAAGTATCATATCTTCATTTAATTTTTTCTTGAAATAATAACCATGGTATAAATTCCTGCACACTTTCAGAGGTAAGACAATGAAATAAACATATCACTGAAGTTAAAAAAATCTGAATGGTCATAACATTTTTTGGTCCATGAGAAGATATGATTACTGAAAAACCCCACATTTTTTTATAGAACATAGATACTTTGATTGTTTTAATGATTTTTAAGTTATAAAATTTTTAAAATATATTACATATTCACACATTGTATAAAATTCCACAAAATAAATCATTTGCAATAAATCAATAAAATAGTAACAATCTCAGGCTAATTCAAATGTATAGGTTAAAATTAATTTGATACTTAGCAACTTGAGAATAATAAACATAATATATGTTATAAGTTGAAAATACAAGTTTAATGTTGCAAATAATGCAGACACATAATCTACATGTATTAATTTTTCTATGAATGATTCTTAAACCATTTCAAGTTCATATTTAATCAAATGAAATTTTTTAAATTTCACTGCATCAACTGAGAAGTTAGACCTTGTTTTGGTTCACAGAATGTTTCCACAAAATATACTTTATCTGTTACACTCCTTGAGATAAACAGGTTGAAGTCATATTTTTTCATTGCAAAAAAACCTAAAATATCTGGTAACTAGTTTTGTTGTTATGTTTGTTATTATTAGTATTAGATCCAATTGAAAATTTATGTATCTAGCTGAAAGTCCAAGTGTTCAGTGGAACAGTGCATGCAATCAAGGTGAATGTGCACTGCTTACAGATAAACATGACATACAACATGTATTATTAATATTCAGTCCTTTTGTTGTGCAATTGGGTTAATTGAGTTGAGAGACTTGCCTGGGTTTTTCATGGGTCCAAGTAACCAACCTTTGCCTCTATCAAAATTTTCATGTATGCTCTTTGAAAGTCCTTTTTCAAACTATGAATATTCTCTGACTAATAACAGTAAAAAATAATCAAAAAACAAAATACTCTCTAAAGTCAATTACCATTGTTCCGTTCTGCTTCTAATTATGCTCTTCCATTCCAAATGCAATTGGTATAAGAATTATATTTTTATTTTTGAAAAAATAATACAAGTAAACAACATTCCCACAAAACTTTTCATTGAACACAACTTTACAAAACACAAACACACACATTCAAAAGCACAGATACTCACTTACACCATCTCACCATAATCCACCAGAGTCATGAACTCTCTCACTAGGGTCAGAACAAACAACAAACTCGAACATATAAAAACAGTCAGGAGCGAACGAGGACAAAAAGAAAAGAAAAGGAAAAAAAAGTCAAGAACGAAAGACAGGAGCGTGGACTGTTATCCTGTTTATTCTGTTTTCCACCTTCCCAACCAGAAAGAAAAAGATATACATAAAACAAAACAGACCGAGATATATTACTAGGAGGGCAGAAGGCTCTCTGTGAAGAGAACGAAGAGCGACGGAAATCCAGGAACTGGATGCGGGGGTGGTGCCACCAAATATGGAGGATGGTGCCCCCAGTCAGGCACCCAAACTGGAGCGGGGCTAAGGCCCACTGCCCACATAGCCACACTGCTACACTCATACTACTATTGCCCCTATGCTAGACTAGAAATAGACTAGGCTAGGCTAGCTTAGTAGGCCAACACCTCCACCTCCAGATCAGGGGTTTATATTTGGCAGGGAGCTCAGGGCGGTTCTCGGGGCCGCTTTTTTTTTTTTTTTTTTTTTTTTTATATAAGATCATCGCCCAATTTCCGTCCCACCAGCGTTTCCAACTCCTCGCCCAGCACTGCTTGCAGCGCACATCCCACCCTCTCTACTGGCATCTCACACACATTGCAAGCTACTCTCCTTTGCGTCTAGATTCGTCGTCGTGTTGGTGTTGTTGTTGTTTAAGTTGGTTTTTGTGTGTCAGTTGAGGAATTCACTTCGGTAGTTCAGAGACTGTTGTTAGGAGATCGTGAACCGGAGTTTGCGTAGATTGGTGTTGGTTGTGTGTGTTACTAGATTCGAGTGAAGAATTGTGTGGAACGGAGTTGACGGTGGTGTTGTGAGGTTAGAGTGTCACTGTTGGACTGGTAGTGTGTTCTGGTTCACGATCCTCACCAGAACACCTTCGGTGTCGGTTGGTTCCGAATTTCGATCGCGGTTCGATCTGGTGGTAAATCTATAACCAGATGCCTGCCATGGCTTTGACCCCCGCGGAACGAAACAGCAGCGAGCAGGTGCAGTGCGGTGGCCCGCAGAAGGGATGCGGGAAGCCTTTACCCAGAGTTGGGAGGAAACCATTTCTCGCCGCTTGTGCACCGCCTGGCACGTACCCACCCGCGCCTACTTCCCCTGGTGATGAAATGCAGTGGCACTGCCACGGCGCCAACTACGAGGAGCTCATCTCCAATTTGCAAAGTTCGTCTTATGAACTTTTCCTCTTCTGAAGCTTCTTTTCTAGTATAGCATTCGTGCATTACACCTGTGGTGTCACATGAAGCACTGTCAAAATATTTTCAAGTAAATCGCTAAAGGTCCCGATTCTTTTTGCGCAGAGCGGGGCATCTTGACTTCGTTACATGCGGCAGCTGCCATGTCTAAGGTGGACCGGAAGCTGTTTGTGCCAGCCACTGGCTACGCTTACAACGACTCCCCTCAAGTCATTGGGTACGGAGCGACGATATCCGCCCCTCACATGGTATGCGATCGCACCGATTCTGCAGCCTTGGTGCTCTTTTCGATTCACTTGTCTCATGCTGATTTATCAGTCACTAGAATGAGAGCCGTTGAAATGGCGTTGTGTTGCTTCTGTAGGAATGTGTCTGTGACTAAAAATTCTTACACTTTCCATAGGTTGTATTAGTGCAATTTGGCGGCGTCATTGTTACATCGGTTGGTTATTTGTGAGTCTATCTGTTCTGTCTTTGAATCTCAAGTACCCTGTGGAATGATGTAATGCAGCATTCCTATTGCCTATCATTACTGGCGGATCACGCCAAGCCTGGCATGTCTGTTCTCGACGTTGGCTCAGGATCTGGATACCTGACTGCAGTCTTTGGTTTAATGGTGAGGAACCTTTTCGTTACCTGTATTTTTTTATCCTCTGTATCCGAACTTTAGTGCAATGTGAGCCATTTGCGGAGTATAACGTGTCACTAAAACTTGCCATACTTGGGTCTTGTAGGTTGGAGAGACCGGCCGTGTCGTCGGTGTTGAGCACATTGCGGAACTTGTGGAAGGCTCAATTGATGCTATCAAGGAAACACCTGCTGGCGAACTTATGGACAAGGGAAGAATCGAAGTATATGGTAAGCATTGATCGTGCACGGATCAACAACTCACAAATGAGATTCATTGCTGTGCGGTGATTTTAAATTCGCTGATCAGTTATAAGCCTTGTTCTTACTTTAAAACTTATTCTTGATTATGTTTCCAGTGGCCGATGGAAAGCTTGGATATGAGGAGGCCGGACCATATGACTGCATTCACGTCGGCGCTGCTGCTGCAGGTAGAATGTCTGTTATTTGTTCATTAATGTAATTACGGTGTAGGAATGACTGGCATTTTGGGGAGACGGTGTATGTGGAGAACTAACGGAGTTGGTTTGTTTCGTCACATGAAGTTCTTCCTGAAGCACTTGTGAAACAACTCAAACCAGGAGGCCGAATGGTCATTCCGGTGGGATCAGATAACCAGGTAATTACAAACTATGCATCCTCCTTCAATCGATGGGATTGTGTGGTTTTGTTACTCCGAGCCAGAATAATAAATCTCTCTGTATGTTTATTAACTTGAAACCTTCTCCATTTCATATACAGGATTTGGTGATCATAGACAAGCTGCAGGATGGAACGATCAAGAAGACAGTAGACATGGTGGTCCGATATGTGCCCCTTATCTAGAGACGATGAAGAAACTTTGCTGAACTTAGAGACGCTTACGTAACCATTACCATTATTCATATCGACCCTAGTGCACTTCCGACCCTATAGAGTTCCTAGATCAACTATGGTCCTTTTGCTCTCCTGTAATTAATTAATTTTTGACCATCTCGGCCCAATAATCTATCTCAAAGATTTTGACACTGGTAGGTCTACACTGTCTCATTTCTAGAGCTACCACGCCCTTGCTAGATGACTCCTCGCCATATCCATTCACGAGAACTGCATGCACGTAGTCTCTCAGCTGTATACTAGACTTCCCTCACCACGGCACCCGCAGGGCAGTTTTTGGTTTAACTTCCGTTGAAGGTACTCCCCCAAGATCAATAAAAAATCATAATTAATATTATCTCTGCTGCTTTCGATGTTCCTGCCTCAATAATACGAGCGATGGTATTTTGTAATTGATAGGATTTGTGATATTAGACTCTGAAGTACTAAAACTTTACGAATGGTGGTTAGATTTACCTTCAAAAGACAAGTGAGATAGTTCACGGTACATTCATGAGCACTACAGGTGGAAGCTTGACATGATCTACATTGATGCATTCACATACATTTCGTAGTTGTACTACTAATCGCCAAGTGTGCTGCAGTACATGCCACCCATTCACCCACTTCAATTGTGTGAAAGCATGCTTCTGGTGTGTTCCTTTCACACAATCTGGTGAAAGTTGTGTCCACCACGGCGTCTACCTCTTGTGCGTATATATTGCAATTCCTTCGAGCAATCATGGCACCGAACTGTAGTTTGAGCTTCATCAGAGAGTGGAAATGTAACTGCTATGTGAGACACACTTGTGTATATCTGTGTCATTCTAAAATCTACACCCAACGATGAGTCTGCACATTTTACTGTGGCTGTTTCCTTTCATCATGTGCTACCCCGTTGCGCGTCAGCTAAAAAGCTCTACACCGCTATTCCCTGTATTTTTACCTTTGGCGACTCGTTGTTGAATGCTGGCAACAACAACCATCTTAAGTCTGCGCCGGCAAAGGCGAACACGTTGCCGAATGGAATCGACTTCCCAACTCATAATGCCACTGGTCGTTTCTGTAATGGAAAAATAGTGCCGGATTTCATTGGTGAGCGGCTCACATTCTGTGTGCCGTCTCAGCAAGTGATCATTCTGAATGACAGAATCAGGAGCGTCAATTCTGTAGGACCATGACTGCTTTGGAACTCAAGTATCTCTAGTGATGGATGGTTCGATTGCAGCTGACTACGTGGGTCTGGATTATGCTCCTCCATACCTGGCTCCCACCACCAATGGTGCTCAGCTTCTACAGGGAGTGAACTATGCTTCGGGTGCTGGAGGTATCCTTGACGAGAGCGGGGCACAATGGCTGAGTCATCCAGATCACTTCGCTTCTCCTTACATTCCTCTTAACATTGTTCTTTTCTGAAGTTTGTTTAGAAAAGGCTTCGATCGGGTGGTGAGGTTTCCAATGGGATTGCGTTTACCGAACTTCAAAACCATCTCTGCTTAAATTTGTTTCAACAACTAGTTATTTTTACAGATCATTAAATCTTGAATCTGGTTGTGCAGTTGGATCTCCTATCCCTATCTGCTCAAATCCAACGTTTGACGAACACAACAATTGAACTGGAAGAGATTCTAGGAGCTGCACAGAAGAAGTCATTCTTGGCTGAGCCGCTATTTCTGATAAGCCTAGGAACCAATGACTACGTTTACAACTACACATTGGCAAACTCATCGATGAAAGCTGAATATCCTGATGCTTAAGACTTCCACACCTTCCTAGCTTCCAAGCTCAAAGTGTATCTAATAGTTTGCAAATCGAGCTTTAACTCAAGTTCATTGCTCTCGTATCAAACTTCAAATCTCATTTTAATAATTTTCTAAGCATCCCCCCACCCCCCCCCCCCCCCCCTCGTTTGAAGTTTATTCAAGACCTGGAACCGACTCCAAAAATATTGCCTGCACAAATGGAGCTTGCGTTGGCTCTGACAATGAGATGGCAGCGGGTTTCAACGCTGCTGTGCGAGTAATGCTGCCGGAGCTCGCCAGCACTTTGTCTGGATCGGCGTTTTTGTATAGTAATGCATGCTGTACGATGCTCGATGCCATACTCAATTCCTCCCAACACGATACGAGATTGAAAATTCCGGGCTGATCTTTTCTGGCTTTTCCACGATGGTTGCCCATTTTCTCGTGCGTCCGAGAGTCCATTTGGTTGCTCCTCGGCTGAATTTACAGTCGCTTCTAGCTACTGGGGTCCTAGAGTGAGTCTAAGACCCTGCAGAACGACATTCGCTTTGTTCGCAAGATTGTCAGCCTAACTCTTGCAACTCTAGCCCCACCCTAGCACATAGGCATCCGTACCGTGTTGCCGGATGGCTATCTCTTGAACAGTACGGTGGCTGAGCAACATTCTACACTGTACTTTGTTCTCGTCCTTCAATAAACCTAGACTGTTGAACGTATATTCAATGTGTTTGAATCTGATGACAGGATTCCAAGTCAACAACCGAGGATGCTGTGCTTTCGGCAGATTCAAGGGAGAGTTGCCATGTAGTATCCTAAACGATTTGACATACCTTGTGATCAAATCGCAGCGCATACGTCTTTTGGGATGATTTTCACCTTGCGGAGACTGTGAATGTGTTCCTGACCCAAAAGCTCTTCTACGGCTCCACTTCCAACATCCCCATGAACATCTATCAACTCTCTCAGTTGAGTTTGTAACAGTGGAACACACTCGTATTGGGCACATCTAAGATGCGGGTACTGCGCATTTTTTGTTGCTAAGGAAGCCGTTTCAATCAGTAATTTAAGATCCTCATGCATGCAAGAACTACGGTGATAGTCTCCAGTGGTTGCTGAGTATTGTTCAAAAAATGTCTACTAAATGGTATGTATAGACTACGAAATTCGACCATTTAGTAGACATTTTTTGAACTACTAACTGTCGACATCACGGCATGTATAGACTACGAAATTGGACCATTTTGAGTTCACTGCATACGGATGAAAGAGAAGTGATCGAGAAGTGATCGAGGCTGAAATAAGTAAAATTAATCAATCTGGAGAGATTTAATTTAATCTCATACATAAATTTGCACCATACTCTTGGCTTTAGGAACCCCTTCTATCTTGTAGTGGGGAACAGAAGCACTCTTTTACAAAGATTTGTGTCATTTCCAGTATCACTGTCTAACTACTCACACTATTTCTAAGTACTATAAATACCTGAAAAATGAATTTGAGCAACTACATGGGTCCTTGTACTCTTGCGCCGAATAAGCCAAAACCCTTGCTAGGTGCAGACGCAAAGAGACTGTACTCTCCCACAGGTAAGCTCGACTTCGAAACTCCGTCGGGTCCAAGTAAACACTGTGTTCTCTCTGCACAACTCACGGGAAGGTTACTCGAACGATAAGTATCTGAATCTGAAGCCTTGGTAAATGCCTCAGTCTTGTTGGTCCCTCCCGATATAGGCCACTTAGAATGGAAGAAAGAGAAATCCGCTGAGGTTGGTGAGGCAGTGTGATGCCTTTCCTTCATGCCAAGCAAAGGTGATTGAGAATCATTCGAGAGAGCATGACCAAGAAACTTTTGTCCCTCACGAACATGCCCCACATCTGCAGCCGAAGTCCCCTCCACCTGACTACCATCAGACTTCAAACCTGGAGTTCTTTCAACCATTATTCGACCATGTGATCCCCTTCCTGGCGAATCGCCGAATCGGGACAAATACATCTGGTGAGTTCCATTGTGTTGATTGTCTCGGATTTGTAGAGGGTTTAATCCGTCTGGAATTGCGGATAAATGATTAGGTGCAAACCCCCCTGGCGATACAGATCCTGGAGCAGCTAAAGATATTGGAGGAAGTACTCCCATGGGTAATCCTCCAGGTCCAGAAACAGCATAAACACAAGCTTGAGGAGGTAAGACACCTGTCCTGCCACGCGCTGCCCATGGACCCATTGGAAAGAATCCAAAAGGCCGTGGATGGCGCATGTTCATTGCACCAGGTGCCATGCTCGGAGGTTGTATAGCATTTTGCAAGTGTCCTTGGGAAGCCAACATGTCTGTGGTGTAAGCATACATGCCGTTATTTGGTGGCCTCAAAAGACTCCCCTGGGGAAAGTTAACCTGTTGGTGACTATTAGTATGAACATGTGCAGATGGCCCTGACAATATACCCGCACTTCGGTAGCTATGATGCTGCTGTGTGATCAAGCCCGTTTCAGGCACATAGTTTAAGGCTCCTTGTGTAGCAACTGGTCTTAGTACTCGTGGAGAATCTTGCCCTTCTTCTGACGATCCTTGTCGAGAATCAGTATATATTATGTCTTCAAGTACAACACAATTCTCTGCGTTTACAGCAGGTACCACTTCTTGCACAGAGACTGACTCGTCTTCTGAGTTAGGTGCAGATGTTCCAGGAGAACCCCCAACTTTGAAGTCGATTTCGCTAGTGATGAGATTTCCCCGGCTATCATCAGTGGTGATAACAGTCCGAGGTAGGACTGGAGCATTAGGAGCGGGCATTTCTAATTCTTCTTCCTCTGCGCTAGTGGATAGGTGTTCAGTGACTGTGGACTCTTCTTCTGCACTCCCTGGAAAGTCTTCAAATACAATGCTCGATGCTTTTGGTGAAGCTGATTTGAATGGAGGAGGCCAAGGGCTCACAGGTCTTGCTTGTGATCCAATAAGAGCGTGGTCATCCTTCCCATGCTCACTATCCAAAGGAAGAGTTCCGGACACCTTCACTGTTAAGCCATTTGGGGCGTTTACTGCACGCGGAGTCCACATGGGTTTCAACGCAACAGACGCAGGCAAGCCATTAACAAGTGACCCATGCCCCACTGCTCCATTTGGGGATGACTTTGGCACCCCACAGTGACCACTTGATGCCCCAAAACCCAAATCCAGTGAAGAGCTTCTTGAATGTAATGTTTTGGCAGCTCTGTCCGTGATACTCCCTGCCCTCTGATCCCTTCGATCGAAAATGTTAGCTGTAACTGACATTCCTAGTGATTGCTCAGTTGACCTCCGGACAAGTGCTGGATCCACGTTATCAGATCGATGAAGGGTTTTTCCAGAAAGACCCTCAATAATAGAGCGTTCTCCTGATCCAACACTTGCATTTGGTTCTCGAACTCCTGGTCTACCAGGACCACGTTGGCCAACTTTAGAACGAGAGCCGACATGAGAACTACCACAAGCGCAGGATTGAAGCGTTTCATCCCTATTGTTACTATTATATGTTGGAGAGCTCGACCAGCCATCCACCCGCTTCGTGACAGCTTTGACCCCAACTTTACGAACATTATTCCTCTGGTGTTCTTGAGAGCTCAATACCTCTTTCACTTCAGAAGAATGTGGGTTAAGTGTCATTCGTAAATTGCCATCAGCTTCCAGTGAAGGAATAGACCCTCGTCTAAAACTTCCATTAGAGTTATCAATCGACGTTTTTCGACCCTGGGTTCTCCTCTTGGCAGATTTAGATCTTTCTACAATGAAGGCGCCATTTCCATCCCTCAAACCCAGAGCATCATCAGTAATCTGCGCAGGAGCTAATGCTTCATGCTGACTGGAGCCTCCATTCTCACTGTCAAAACCGTCAGCTGAAGGTCTCGCCTCAACGGTGTCAGGAGATGAGGGTCTTGCAGACATACTATCCTCGCTATGATTACTTTCCGTCCCTTCCACTTGGCTGCCTGAATTGCTATCCTGTTCCTCCTCATGATCTACATCTGAATACATCCAACATGTTCAACCTTCTCTGTTATAATACTTACAAAAGGCAAAATAAGAAATAAATAAGACAGTAATCCTCTTCCCGTTCAGATGAACCGTTAAAAAAGTTTGAGAGGGTATAAAGAGATCCTATAAAGCAGGGACATGTAGACCACATAGTCATAAAGTTTACATTGTACTGATTCACCTACAGCTGAACAGAGTTGTTCAATCGGTAATGAGAAAGAAAACGGAAAAGGCAAACATTAGAAGAGCATGTGCCACGGAAACCCCTGTAAGTTAACTCACCTAATGAACTTGCTGTGAGGCAACCATTTGGATTCAAAGTGACGGAGGAACAATTCCTTCTGTTGGCTTTCTCTTTACTTTTAAGCTTCTCCTTTCTACGCAACTTCTTCTCTTTCTCTTTCTGTTTTCTTCGCTCTCGTCTCTCCTCCTCCTCACGCTTTTCATACTCTTCTTCCTCTAAGAGCTTATTCTGCTTACACCAAAGTAGATGCTATAAACAATAATACATCACAACAAAAAGAGAGGATTTCCGTGGTTCTAGAGGCCCAACAGAATTAATCTACATAGGATTAGGTCCAAATAGAAAAGTTCAAAGCAGAAGTCATCAGAATACAGACCTGTTTCTCAAGACTTGTAATCTCCTTGCAAGCAACGCGAACACGCTCTTCAAGCAAGCTCAAAGCTAAGCAGACGAAAATACTATGAGCGTTTTGGCGTGCTGTGCCTTCTCTAAAGGCCTTTTCTACCTATTACAAAACAAACTGAAAGATATCAGTAAGGTTGAACACACTTGTGGAAAGACACTGTGCAATGAGAACTCAAATACTACAGGAGAGAGATCTCAAACATGCGACTTCAAACACAGATTATGTACCTGCTCTTTGAAAATAACAGTAGCGGCATCTAATAAGAAGTCCCGTGCAAGCTCAGGGCTTTTCGCATGCTTCTGCGGGCGAGAAGCCTCACCCTCGTAATCATTTCCATCCTTGTCAACAGCATCTTCGTCCTGCACACAGATCAAAAACTGCTTAGCTCCTTCGATATCAACCTTGTGTTTAAGACCCAAGACCTGCGACTTCAGAGGATCCCTAAATGGAGGCTCTGATTGTTCTCCTCCGTTTCACTCTGGCGCCTTCATCCAGGAACATGATCAACTTTAGAATCAATGCGCGTGACTCATCCTTCTCATTCAAACCGAGCCTTCTAGCTGATTGGTACGTACCTCCTCTTCTGTCTCCTCCGCCCGCTCAAAGAACCGTTGTATACTCTCCCCTTTGGTGATCGACACATAACCATCTCCAATAATCAACCGTCGATGTACACACAACTGTCCTTTCAGAGCATGTGCTTTAGCAGAGAGCTCCGTGCAGCGACCATCTCGATTCCAACCACGTACGACAATGAAACAAGCACTTATATTCGCAAGATCAAGGTTATCCACATAAGCAAACTCAGATAGACCCACGTCTTCAAAGGGAAAAATATCACTCTTTCCTTCACCAGTGCCCAGTGCCCATTCAAAACGCTGAAAAGGGCTACCCCCATCACCAACAAAGCAGTTGTGCCAATCCACATGCACTGCAGTCTTAGATACCTGAGAAAAAGGTAGCAATATTCAACGTTACCCACGTGCCCATTTGAGCTCAAAGAAGACGTTTGGATGTACAGCATCCTCAAAGACGCAATGTGAGCAAGGGCAATAATATGCAGATCCATTTAACCCCTTAGAACTATCCACAAATTATAATTGATCAAATGAGAATTCAATGATTTACCTCGTAGCGAAATACACTATCAGCAGCACAAAACCATTGAGTGCATTGAGGTTCTTTCCGGGATCGCTTCAACTCCTTCATTTCCTTAAACTCCCGAAGAACATTACGCCTGCAATCTCGGCAAAAGCGCTTGCTGTTGAACCTACAGTACGGAGCAAATACATCTGTTACGAAAACTAATTTCGACAGCATCTATATCGCCTCAACCTTGTCCACACATGATAAGGAATGCGGCGTCTACAAAAAAATTACTTCACAACTTTTTGAATTACCAGAAGATGATTACTTCCATTGTCAGTCACTCCTTAACTGTGAAAAATCGTGTATCTATACCTGAACATTAACCTCTCTATGAAATCTTCCTCTTTCATCCTTAGAAGGGAGAGCCTTGTTTCATCTCCCAAAGCAGACCAGAAGTCTACTAACGCTTCACAAGAGAGCCTAGCTGTGTGAAGAGCACAGGTCTCTTTCAACCCATGTCCACGTCCATTGAAACTCCCATTTTGACAAATCCAACCTCTTCCGCCTCCTCCACATGCATCTGGGTACAGCAACTCCCGCTCTCGCTCTCGCGCCCGAGCACATTCAAACACCTGTTGGCAGAAATCCAAGTAAGAATTCATGCCACTTCTAAGTGAGAGTCCTCAGCCCGGCTGATCATTAAATTCGCTTCTCTTGCTTTTCACTATGACCCTACTCTGAGACAAAAATTATATTGTTTAAACAGAACTAAACCCAGCTCGCGAATCGTAAATTGACTAATGTCAAGCTGTAAGTAAGTAGCCAACATTAGGCCAGACGTGAACACTAGGAGCGACGCGATTTCTATTCGGGACAACAATAAGGAGCCTAATGTTGCAACTTGAAATAATCGAAAACAGATGAGTTGAGAGAATCAAGGAATCTATCAAGTAACAATGTGCATTCGAGGTAACTGTGTGGATTACACCAACAACCAACTACTCATAGTTTTGCATAGACTTAGACATTAAGACCCGATTCCAATTTCGATCGCTTCACATGTCTTGCCTACAGAAGTAGCGGAAAATTTGAGAAACATTAACAAAAAGGAATGAAATATGGGAGGTACATTTTGAAGCACCTCAAGCGGCATCCCATCCAGAAAACAATCCAAGACCGTCAGCATACTGTCACGAGTGGCTGCTAAGCCACCCCAGGGGTGAACAGATGGGTCCTTAGAGTCATCAGCGAAACCTGCAACTGCAGCATAGTGCCCCTTTCCTGACACCTGCTTGCCAGTGGTTCCTCCACCACTATTCTGGCCTACCATGCCTGCCTGCAGGCTCTTTCCATAGAGTATGATTTGACTGAACCCCTCCACAAGTAGTCCATGACACCGAGAGCAATACAGATTCTTACGAACTTGCTCAAAAAGTGTCTGCTTATCAATGCGTAGCAAGTCGCGGCGAGCCACAACTGACAATCCACCCCAGAACTGCAAATACAATCATCTTATTTTAGATCACTTGTCAAACACACCAAACTCTTCAATCCACATTCTAAATGATTCATTGCTCCGAGATTAGGTTACGCACGATTACTCTGTAAACTGACTCAGAAACTGGAATTAAGGTTGTGACTCCAACGATTTGAAACAAATCATGACGAGAATCAGGCCATTTATTTCCAAACCGAATAGGAGAAAACGAAACACAACGCTTAGAAAGAATTTAACTCATTGCAATCCGAAAATTGCAAGGCTGCCTGCCTGCAAAGGAAAATCTCTGCACCCTAGTGTAGTTAACTAATACCCCAAGTCCATCCGGAGAGGCATAGAGACAATGCCATCATGACTCTCTTGCTGAATCTAACTCTACACATTCAATTGCCAGCTATAAACTGACTTCCAATACCAATGCAAGGATCCATTCCTGTCTTACAACGTTAATCTCTTCCTCGCAAATGACGCGACTAATAGGGGAAAATGAGATAATAATAAAAGACTCAATACTTGATGTAAAAAAATTTAAATTGATGCACCCTCACGATATATTTTCAATCAGCTCACACGCATCAAAATCCGACTTCTACGTGCACAATGATCCGCACTAACTAGGCATGAGATTGAGAGCAAGTATCCTCAGAGAGTAGGAACAATTGTACTACTTATAGCCCAGAAAATTTTATACAGTAGTCTTAAACCGACCGAAAATAACGCAGCTTCTGTAAATTGGGACTACCTTCTTTTGGAACTTTATGGGACCTAAATTTGCAAATCACTTGCAACCTGCCAATTAGAGCTTCGATTCAAGAAATGAAATATTAGGTCTCTATGAAAACCATCCACTCTTCCTACAGACTGCATTTTCAGTCAGCGAAGTAGAATAAGCTTCAATCAACAAGCTTTATATGATTATTATTGTTATTATTATTATTGTTTTTCTATTTCTTCAGAGAACATTCAGATCGAGCTACAATATGATGCTAGGAGGGAAAAAATTACAATAATCCGACACTTGAAACCAGGAACACGACATCACCAACGCGAGCTTCGAGAAAACAGGCGACAGCTTTGTGTGCAAATTCAAGTGAGAGGGGAAAAGAGAAGAGGCAGGTAGGAGTATCACCTTATGCAGCTGGGAAAGACTGACATCATCGGTGTTGGAGCGAGTCCAGACAGAGGCGGAGCGTGCATCTGGGGGGTGGGCTGAGCCATTACTGTGAGAAGCCGTTGACGATTGCAGTGCTGTGTGCGACAGACTCGGCATGATTTGTGTAGGGCCCCAGGCCGTTTGTTACACTGCGTCCTTCTTGTCGCCCATCTGCCTCTCCCTCCCATACACTTAGGCTGGGGGAATCGGTAGTGAAATGTTTGAGCAGAATAGGGATCACTTGATTCAAGACCGTGTCCAATTGGGCACCAAACGAAAACAGCCTACCTTACCGGATGTAAGAGAAAAGGAAACTAAAAACCAATCCTGATTGAACATTGCGAGAGGTGCAAGGGCGAGGGAAACGAGCAACCAGGGGAGATGGATGTGAAAAGAATCGACAAAAGCAGCGAGGAGAAAGAGGTGGCAACTGCATGAGGACAGCGGTAGGTGGGAGAGCAGATTGAGAAGAGGAAGGCAAGAGATCCCGAAGGAATTATCGGCCCCAAAATCAGATGTGGAATGAAGACTAAAGCATCAGAGATGCAAGAAAAAGAGGGGCAGGGGGAGAGAGTAATGAAGAGGCCCAAATAGTAAAGGTGGGATTAGGGTTGAGTCAGAAGCAGAACGTGTACAAGTCTCTTTCCAAGTGCCGCACCAGGCAGGGCAGGTTATCCCTGGCTCAATTCATCCAACGTTATGTCGTTGAGAACATCGGAAACAGGCTCAGACAAAAATGAGAAAGGACCCTCCCAACCAAGAGGAAGCTGCAAACACACACACACACACTAATACACCGAAGTCGCAATGCGGAGAAGTCCCAAGTGGTGTGAAATGAAGAGGAAGGGAACGTGTCAATGCGGTGGCAGCATCGCAACACCCCCCAATCGTTCTATGTCACATGTGCCCTACACTAGTTCCTCCCTAACCATGTCAATTACATCCTCTTAACCTCATTGTTATTGTAATTCTTCTACACGCTCTCACGATGACCTACACAACTAAGTAACTCAAAAATCTACCCAGAGTCTCCACATCCTCGCAAACGATAGTCATCTGCTTGGCTTTCTCTCTCTCTCTCTCTCTCTCTCTCTCACTCTGCTCCCCTCCCCTACTGTCTAACTTAAGCTTCTTCATCTCTGTGCGACCCCTTCGTCTTCTTCCCTAGGGCATTCGTCACACAGCATAGAGTTCCAAGCTCCAATCCTTCCCCTTCACCATCTCCACCCCCCCTCCCCCCACCTAATATTAGTCCACCGCAATCTCGTCCATGTCTCGACGACACTCCACTGCGGCTGAAGGCTAAAAGCCAATGTCAACATCATTTCCTCATGTCGCGAAAGCAAAGTAATAATGCTGGTTCTGTTTTGCCATGGCAAAATACCATCTTCCATCACGGTGCCAACAACTGGTTGTCTCCGCCCTGACGAAACCTGGGCATCGTCGTCGTCGTCGTCGTCACGGTCGTCGCCGAACACAGGGTTCATCAAGGGCTCCGTGTGAGCTTCCTCCTGAGGTGGGTCAGTCAAGGAAGGCTGGCTCAGGACGTGGCAGCAGCAACAGCAAAGGCTCATCTGTTCAGGTCAGTTACTGCTTAAAATATATATATATATATATACTTTCAATGAGGTTGCAAGCTGCAAAGTAACCAAAGCATATAGAAATACAAATAAAACAGCCCCACATTCAAATGAGGGTGCAGCATTCATTTAAAGATATGGATGATTTGGTCTTATTTTGTGGCAAATCACATGACATGATCTGTTCATGGCAGTGCTACGTTTTTGTCAGCAGCTGGATGAGGCCAGTCTTTGGGGATTTTCTAGAACCACTGCCCAACATTCTCATGCCTCTTTGTAAATGCTTTGTTCATGTTGAGAATGTTTAGAAAGACACAAGAGTAATAATAAGTCATACACACACATAAGAGTAGTAGTAAGTCATACACACAAGAGGGTTTTTAAGGAGAGAGAGCTTCACACATGAAAATCTATTGATTTGGTTGTGTCTCGTATACAAGAAGAGAAAAGAGGAGAGGATAAACAATACTTCTCCACTAGACTCTAAATACTATAACTATGGTATTTACTGTAGTCTACAGTAAATATTATGGAGAGCGCCGGCTATATTTAATAATCTCAGCACTCATCCTCGCTCATCATAATATTTACATAATATAAAATTTGTATAGAATTATGATCTATACTTTTCTGTGATCTTGCAAGATCAAGAATTATGCCTCATTAAAACCTTATCTAAGAAAACCTTATTTTATTTAAGGACAAAAACCATAGATGAAGAAAAAAGAGTACAACATCATTTTCTTTAATTATTTAAAGAGCTCATTAACTTTCTTATTCAAGAAGAGCAAGTCACCACATATCAATGCCATAAGTAAGTCGATGATGGTTGCTTAATAGGAGAGCTTTGGTGAAGAGATCAACAAGGTTATTTGTAGATTCAATTTTCTTAATTATAAGTGCTTGATAAATAATCAAGACATGGATATAACTAAAATACTTTGCATCAATATGCTTTGTCCTATCACCTTTAATGAAACCAACTTACATCTGTGCAATACAAGCACTATTATCTTCATGCAAGATAGTAGGAGAATCATCATATGAAAATCCACAAGTTGTTTGAATGAATTTATCAATTGATCGCAACCAAATACATTCTCGAGATGCTTCATGTAAGGCAATAATTTCTACATGGTTGGATGAAGTTGCAGTTATTATTTGTTTCACTGATTTCCATGATATTGTAGCTCTATGTCTTAAGAATACATATCTTGTTTGAGATTTAGCTATTGCAATATCAGATTTATATCCTGCATCACAATATCCAACCAATTTTGGATTTGTGGATTTTGTGTAGTATAATCCCAGCTCTTCAGTACCTCTTAAATAACGTAATAAATGTTTGATGCCACTTCAATGTTGTAGTGTTGGACGTGCACTATGTCTTGCAAGAACACTAACTACAAATGCAATATGTGGTCTTGTAGATGTATCTAAATACAAAAGTGCTCCAACCGCTACAAGATATGGATATTGGTCTCCCAATATTTCCTCTTCCTCCTCGCATGGACGATATGGATCATGACCATCATGACCACATCCAACCATTGGTGTGGACAATGGATAAGTATCAATCATATTAAATCTTCACAAAATTCGTCTAATATACGTTAGTTGGTAGAGAAAAATGCTACCATCTGTTAGATGCATAATGTGAAGACCAATGCAGAAAGTTATTTTTCCTAGCATTTTCATCTCAAATTTACATATAAGTAGATTTGTAGTTGTAACACATATAGATGTAGTGCCTACTAGATTAAGATCATCAACATATGTAGCGATGATTACAAAACCAGTTTTATCTCGTTTGATAAACAAACAAGAGATTAGTGGATCACGTATAAAATTATTTATAATTAAATAATCTCGAAGATGTTGATACCACATTCGTCTGGATTGTTTTAAACCATACAAGGCCTTACATAATTTAATACCACCATATTTTCTTGGAGCGGATTGATTTGGAGTTCTTGTTTCTAAGCCAGGTCGAACTTTCATATAAATATTTGCATCAAGATAACTATATAGATATGCAGTTATTACATCCATCAAATGCATCTCAAGGGTGGTATGAACTGTCATTCCAATAATATATCGAAATGTAATTGAATCCATGATTGAAGAATATGTGGATTCATAAGCAATGCCAAATTGTTGAGTAAATCCTTTAGCAACAAGACGAGCTTTACACCTGATTATTTGGCCTTGAGCATCTCGCTTGCATATTAATACCATTTTATATCCCACAAGGCGAGATATAAGAGTGTCTACAATTGGACCAAAGACTTTTCTCTTACACAAAGAGGCATACTCCTCCTCTATAGCAGTTTTTCATTTTGACCAATCTGAGCGATGCATCGCCTCTTCGATGGTTTAAGGTTCAAGATCATATTCTTTGCAAGAAATGGCTTTTATAATCATATATGCAAATGATTCATCTACCATAATAGATGGTCTGTCCCAAATATCATCTGTAGCACAATACAGAATAGATAATTCTTTACTCAACTTGTTTTTATTCCTTCCAATTTCAAGATTGTTTTTCATAGGAATTGAAGGTACATTATACATGGATATATCATCATGAATTGGTAGTCCTGCAAGATGTGTGGCAATTTCTTGAGAAATAATACCAAGACTAGTCAATTTTATAGCTTTCTTCTTACGTGGTTGCTTATCTAGTCCACGAGTTCTTTTAGTTGTTGTTGTTATAACTTGAGGTATTGAAGTCAATGACATTGCAATCTGAGCAGGTGCATTTTGAGCCTCATTAATAGGAACTCTTGTAATTCTAGGTACATCATTGAAGCCATCAAGTGTTTCACCTGCGATCCGTTTTAGATGCAAAATCTTAGCAACTTCAATTTCTGCCAAAGTTGTCTTAGGATCGGGATTCATTGTAAATGTTTCTGGTGCTTCAAATATGAGTATTTTATTTCTTTGTTGATTGGATACTCCTCCTTGAAGAGATGGCAATACATTTTCTTCAAAACAGCAATTTTACAAACGTACACGTAATAATGTGCCAATTGATGGATCAACAATACGAATAATGCTTGGTGAATCAAAACCAACATATATGCCTTCTTGTCGATGAGCTCCAATGGTATGCCGTTGAGGTTCTGATACTCGAATCCAAGCATGGCAATCAAATACTCATAAGTGAAATACATTTGAAACACAACCCGAAATGAGCTCATGTGGTGAAACAATTTCAAGAGAAGAAGGGCGGAGACATATTAATACTGCAGCATGTAAAACTGCATGACCCCACATAGATACAGGTAGATTTGCGTGAAAGAAGAGTGGCCGGGTAATGAGTTGTATACGCTTTATAAATGACTCTGCAAGTCCATTTTGAGCATGTTTATATAGAACACAATATGTCAACTCGATTTCTATTGCAGTACAATAGTCTTCAAAAGACTTTCATGCGAATTCTTTTGCATTATCCATACGTAATGTTTTTATAGGATAATCACGAAAATGTACCCGAAAGTGAATAAGTATAGATATAAGATTGGCAAACACCATGTTTTGAGTTGATAATAATGAAACATATGATTGTTTACCTGATGCATCAACAAGGACCAAAAAATAACGAAATGGTCGTGATATTGGATTAATAGGACCACAAATATCCCCATGCACTTTTTCAAGCATTGGTAGTAATTCTTGTGGAAGTTTCCAAATTGAAGGCCGAGTAATTATTTTCCCTTGTATGCATGCATGACATAATTCTATAGAGTCTATATCTATAGGATTTAAATTGTACTCAATTATACATGGAATGATCTTTGTAAATAATGTGGATCTTGGATGTCCCAATCGTCCATGCCAGAGAGAAACACAACTCTCTGAGATAGATGATGCAAAATTAAATATAGTGGAAGGCCGAATTACAATTCAATATAAACCATTTTCTGTGGCAAAAGCTTTTTCAACAACTTTATGGTTCTTTGCAAGAACCAAAACCTCTTTTCTATTTAAAGTGGTGGTCGAGAGGTGATAACCATTAATACCCACATCTCGATAGCTGATCAGACTTCGAGGTACTGAGGGTGCAAACATTGCATGTTTACATTTTATGATGGAACTCGCAGGTAATTTTACCATCGTTGTGCCCTCTTGGAAACAAAACACATTTACTCTAGCTATGGTCATCATATTTTTAGTTTGCCAAGTTGAAGATTTTTCAATAAAAAATCGTCTATCTCGTAAGATAGTATGTGTTATTGCAGAATCAATGAGCACATCATTTGATTCATCATTAGAGGTTCTATCATTTATATAAGTCTCTAAGTCATCAACACTAATTGAATCCATGGATGCATCCATGGTATGAACTTCATGAGCCTCAGCTTGTAATTTTTTATTTTCTTAGAATATTTTAATAGAATATTTTTGAAGTACGACACGCATGTGCTAAATGTCCAATCATTCCGCACTTATGGCAAGAACACATCTCTGATTTTTATTTTCTACTATAATTAATAATAGAACGTTTATTCTTTCTATATGGATAGAAATGGTCTTAACTATGACTACCCTGATACTTATGAGAACATTTCCCATGTTTATATAATTTCTTCTTAGACTTTGAAATATTAAGTGCATGAGATTCTAGAACTCTAGTTCTA